TAGTTGAAACCGTATAAAAACTAAAAGTCGGCATCTCTTTCCGGGCACAATAAAGAGATGCCGACTTTTAGTTTTTATACGGTTTCAACTATCTTCGTAAACACTATAATAAATGTTTAAATTTTTGATAGTATCAAGTATAGTATTCCTCTGTTTCCACATCCAATATTTTATTAAAACACTGTAGGTCATTATATTATTTTTCTGTGCAAATATTAAAATTATCTGACAATTCTTGTTCATTGCACATATTTTCCCTAATGCGGCTCTGGACGATAATAGGCTTACCAATGTCCTGAGAATATATAGTTACCGATTAAAGAAATCTTTACGTCGATTGCTATGTGGTATTACGAAGTTGTTCTAGTTTGGCATTACGCTAGTAGAGACCGCCACTTACTGGATGGATTTTCTACTATCTATCAGGTGCTATCGCTGTCTTACTAAAAGTGCGATTTCTTGTCTATAAAACGGCGCCCTTAAGGACAACATTTAAAAGTATCAATTAAAATATATATTAAGATCTTTATCTACATTTTTTTGACGCACGATTTATAAATAACTGTACTATTTACAGATTGTGCTTGTGAGTTTTTGAATGACTTACCTTGAATTCTTGCCAAAGTTCTGTGTCAGAGGTGGCGCTGATGGCCAAAATAAGGGAAGCGAGAACGATTATAAGTTTCATTACGATTTTTCTAGAAAAGAAATTTATATTATATGTATATTCTAAAGCAAACGATGGGGATTAGAAGAAAAATATATATTAAGACTAATGTTAACAGATATGTTCAACAACTGACTTAGATGTTGGAATTAAGATAGTTTATAGTAATCACCTACATGTATTATGTGTGATAGTACGAATAGTTTACATCATGTCATATTTAAAACTATTTTGAAACTAGTACTGAGCAGTGATAACTTTATATAGTCGTTATCAGTTGATGTAGATGATTTTCTTTCCTCATATTAGTTATGTAAGAGAGCATTGCTATTCTGCTATTTTGACACAAGACAATGTAAAAAAATATATTTTTTCTTCAAGCGTATAATAATACTTATATTATATAGTGCAACACCTCCTTTAGAAGCAGCCTATTGTTTAACTAGTACAAATATTTTTCATTTTTTAACTAGTAAAAAAATGTAACAATGTGTAGGTAAGTATCCTAGCAACGAATTAAAGATTCAAGAAGCTTTGACGTTTCATTAAGTGTCAGTTGAAATTTGATGTCGCGTCGGGTCGTTTTTAAAATGTCTGAAGAAATGCAGTGCACACCACCAGAATTACTGGAAATTGCAAATACATCAGTGGCAACACTTATACCAACAAAGTCGAGAAAAATTTATGAAAATGCTTATGATAAATTCATAAATTGGGCAAAAGAAAATAATGCACATATTTATTCAGAAAATGTGATGATAGCATATTTTACAAGATTATCCAGAACACTGAAAAGTTCAACTTTATGGGCGCAATATTCAATGGTAAAATCTAAATTAAACATAGAACACAATGTAAATATTGAGAAATATTCAAAATTAATTACATTTTTGAAACGACAAGGTGAAAATTATAAACCAAAAAAGTCGAAAGTTTTGTCTAAAAAAGAATTTGACGAATTCCTGAATAAAGCACCTGATGATAAATATTTAGCAACCAAGGTATGTACTTTTTAAATTATAGGTAGATATATATTTAACCTTTTTATATTTGTAATACAAAATTTTGTTATAATTTGTAAACTTCAAGTTATTTTATAGTATCCATTACGAGAATAATAAACAATTTTCGGAAATAAAGATAGCTCATTGGAAGAATGTTGTAAAAACTCATAAATATAGATGTCTTAAAATTACGTCATGTTTTAGAATTTCCTTGCATTTTCCAACTTTTTTTATTGTTACAAAATTAATAATTCTATATTTTTTAGGTTGCACTAATATTTGGAGTCACAGGAGCTTGTAGATGCGATGAACTCATTCAAGTAAAAGTTAATGATGTAAAAGATTTGGGAAATATAATATTAGTAAATATTCCCAATACAAAAACTAAAAAACATCGTTCATTTACCATAATTGGAGAGTTTTATTTAAATTTATACAGAAAATATGCTACTCTTCGGCCAAAAGACATAACTTTTGATAGATTTTTTATTAAATATCAAAATGGCCATTGTCATCGTGTTGTAATGGGCATACATAAAATTTCAAAAGTGCCAAAAGATGTTGCATCATTTTTAAGGTTGCCAAATCCACATGAATATACGGGGCATTGCCTTAGAAGAACCTCGGCAACTATCTTAGTTGATAATGGTGGAGACATTACAACCCTAAAGCGACATGGTGGATGGAAATCTACCAGCGTCGCTGAAGGATACATTGAAGATTCTGTAAACAATAAGAAACAGATAGCGATGAAAATATTAAACCCATTAGAGTATAATGAACCAAGTACATCAAGCGAAACTGTAAATATTGATCCTGAAAATAATTTAATCGAAGACTTTTCTGTTAATAATGGTACAATTGTTAACACTGAAACTGAGAACCTTATTACAAGTAACGTATTCAACGACAGAACTGTAAACTTTGAAAAAAAGACAGCCAGCAGCGCTTTAAATATCAACAACTGTACCATACAAAATTGCACATTTAATATTCATGTTAATAAATAAAGTTTGATGATAGACATGTAGGTAATTTAGATGTTTATTCGTTTAATTCAAATTAAAGAAAAATAATTGTTACATTTGTTTTTTTATTCATGAATAAAGTGGTTAAAACTGTCATGTTTAATTAATCAATAAAATGTATAAAATGTATAAAATAAATAGTATTACCTACCTACTGATTTTATTTTGTGCTGAGATTGAACATCGCGTTATCCGCTATAAATTTTCAAAATTAGTAATTTTTTATATTCACGCTTGAAGAAAAAATAGTATATGTCACTCGGAGTGGAAGGCTCATTATGTGTTTTGCCCAATTTGCTCAGCCTCGGCTAACGCCTCGGCGAGCAAACTTTTGGGCTCAACACATAATGATCGCCTTCTACTCCTAGTAACATAATATACTATTTTTCTATTGCCGCTATCCACACTACTTGCGCGCAAACTAGATAATTTCTCACAAAACTTAAAACACGACAGAAAGTGACATGACAGTGCCAAAAAGACTTTTCTGTGGGGTTTTATACATCAATTGTAGTTAATGTATGTACAAAGCGTAAGTTACAATTTACCTACAATTCACTTGCAGCGGGACGCACGAGACATATTTTCACAACCAAGACAAATGTCAGTCCGTGTCAAATTGATACACGCAAAAATGGACAGATTTATTCTGATATTCAAAATGCTGCAGTAGAAAATGTAGAACCAGACAATATTTAGTGATGATGACCTGGAAAATATTCCATCTCAAATTAGAGGGCAGGTACTGTAAAATCATTGTACTTTTTATTGCAGAAAATTTCAAGAGAGAAATATAAAATGGCGTCCAGAAAATTATGAAGCGGAGGAAAAAGGATACAACTAAATCCTTTTCTGAACAGTTAACATTACTATACTTGAAAAGAAATGCCAAAATTTAAAAAATCTTCTACCTTTTTGTCTATTAACTCAATGTTAAGATCGACTATAAACATTAACCACGGTATTGACATTTCGACGTATTCGAAATTACGTGCATCTTTGAAAACGCGGTCTACCAAAAAAAAAAAACAAAAACTCTGACATCAGAAGAAATAAATACATTTTCGAAAGAAGTACCGGATGATGAATACTCATTAACAAGAGTATTTTTTAATAAATTGTTCATATTTTACAAGACAACATGTAGAATTCTATCTTAATTCTTATAACTTTAATGGTTAAGTTATCCAATTAGTGGTGCCTACCGCAGAGGAGAATTATGAAAGTTAGAAATTAGAGATATAGATCTAAATTCTATTTTGACCGATATAAGAACTGGAAGGCTACGCTGTTGATTCAATGAATACCAAAATGAATATTTCAAGCAAAATAATGCATACAGTTGAATTAGTATCGCACTCATCGCTTCCAAATATCGATGCAACAATACGTACCTACGTCAAATTTGCCTTAAACTTCTCTAATTTTAAATAATTGTAAATCTGTAATAACTGTAAATCTATCAACTGACATATCAACTTTAGCAGCTCTCTTACGCAAAAAATGTTTTAAAATTGTTCAAACTGTACAGTAAATTACAATTTTAAACAGAAAAAGTTTACAGCTGATGCTTTTTTTTGTTGCAATTATTTATCATAAATTTTTTGAAATTATTAATCTGTTATAATATAAAAAAAAGCTATTTTCAAACTGAAAAATTAACACTATTCTGTACCTGTTACACAGTATACTATTTCCCTTACCTATCGAACAACACAATAAATACTGAAAAACACAATAAAACCTCATATGAGTCCTCTAGTATCAAAACCCCTTAAATCCGTTTTTGATGAAGAATGAGATATACGCATCAAAATATTCCTACTAAAATTCCTTATTGATGTGTTCATTCGAATGATTGCAGAAGTCATCTAATATTATATTAGGTGACTTTTGCAATCATTCGAATGAACACATCAATAGGGAATTTTAGTAGGAATATTTTGAAGTGTATATCTCATTTTTCATCAAAAACGGATTTAAGGGGTTTTGATACTAGAGGACTCAAGTAATACATGAAAAATTAAGACGAAAAGTCTTAATAAACATAGGGTCGCAAATGCCTCCTTAACGAGATACAGGGCGTCAAAGTTTCTGTAAAATTAAAGCGTAAAAATGACAAAAAGAAGCTTATAATCTAGTTTACTTAACTCACTTGTACACATTGACATTAGTGACAGGTGATGTTTAATTTTATATTGAATAGCNTCAAAATAGTGAACTCTTCTGTAAAGTTGTATAGATAATAAAATTGACTGATCTTCTGACATTATTTTAAAAATAGAAATGACCAGAATTTACAATTTTGGCAGTGTTGCCATATACGAAAGCATTCCTTTACGTTTTTAATAATAAAGGGGTGATTCTTTAGATTATTTCAAGGAAAAAAAGTCCCTATGAACATACAGGGTGTTTTCAAAAGAAGTAGCACAAATGGTATAGGTGAAGCTAAAAAGAACACGTTTTGTAAAAAAATGTTCACGTTAAAAGCTTTTGAAAAAATATCACATTTATTCAAATATCTTGTAACCTGTTTAATGTGAGTTAATAAAACTTGAGCTAGCAACTTTATTAACACGTATTGTAAACATTAAATGTACTTGCATACAAATATATAAACCGGTTGTTTCCAAAACACTTACTGCGATCGAGATTCCAAAACATTTTTTGCCTAACGTAACCAAAAATCACTGATTTTATTATCGAGGTGTACTTAAGGACCACTCTGTATGTATGCAATCAGCAGTACATCATTTTTATTTTTGTCAATATAATAATTTACAGTAGTGATAACATCAGAAATATAAAAAATGTAGAATTGTGTTTGTGATATCGGCAAAATGGGAAACTACCCACTACGTCAACACTTACATTGAAGAAGCTACACTTCTAAAAAAAATATTTTGCAAAACAAATTTGGTATTAAGATACTGGGCTTTCTGGCATGACCTAGAAATTATCTTTTTGTTGGCCATTAAACACTTGGTTATTGCAAATATATTTTCCCTTTTTAGTCCAAATATATATTTGATTGAAATTTCTAAATAACACAGGGCAACAAAATTTTACGAAAGGTCACACCCAAAAACCAGACCTCACTTGCCCGAAGGTTTTTGGTGCGTAGAATCCGAATCTGGTGTCAGAATTGCTATACGTCACGTTTCCGAGATATCCTAGCCTAAAAGTGCAGGAAACACGTTTTTTTGCTATATTTGAGCTTATATCACGGAGTGAAAAAAATTTTTTTCTAAAAACGAATCATGCCCTCTAAAACTACTACTCTTACCCTTCAAAACGCTTTTTTTCAGATTTGAAAAAGCTTTTTTATTCGCGGAGATATCATTGAATGTTTTTTTAACAAAATTGTATTTTTAGTTGTCTGTTTCCGTTACATTATTGTTATAATTTCGGTGGTTCTGCAGCTCTGCATCACTTATGGAGAAACAGTCTCTGCCTGATATTAAACAAACGTATTAAAAACATCTGTGGAGCACGCGCCTGATACTTATTTACTAATAGCTTTGATTATATGTAAATTCATTTGAACAGGGATTTTTCAAGAAGAAACTTGCATTGTTCTCATATAAGTGGCAAATAACAAGCAATTAACGTTGAGAGGGTTTGCGCTGTAGGAAAACTTTAACAAAAGAGTTTAGAGTACATTTTTATCTTTTAATGCATCTTTAGATGTTAAGATAGTCAAACAATCAATATGCTCATGTTTCGTAACATTTCGCTTCTATACTTTAACAATTAACAACGTTCATAGCATCGTATTTTTATTGTGTGTTAATTAAGGAACCAATTTTGAATAGGTGATTGCCACATCGTCGCTAAAGTCTCTCGAAACATCAAAAAGTCTAAACTGACGACCTGCTCGAAAATCGTCAAATTTCGAGTTGTAGAGCTAATAACTTCTACCAATTTTACTGAAAAGCCTTTTAAGAAGTGCGAAATTGTTGTTAAATCAAATCACCTTACGTCTAATATCTACGTTATTAGAAAAAGAAACAACTACATAGAAATATTAATGAATATCTGTATGAAATTAACAAATCAAAGGGTGCAATAACATTTTTTAATGGTTACAGTAAAAAGGAATATATGCAAACCACTGATTTTATTATATAAAATTACGATGTAGAAAGGAAGATGTATACAAATTTTAATTTAGTGGCAATCAGTGTTACCAGATCTCCTGTTTTAACAGGAGATCTCCTGTTTTCACTCTCACTCTCCTGTTCTATTGTTTTCACAATGAGATCTCCTGTTTTTAGTCTCAATGTCTATTCTTCTATACCTATGTAACGAGCGTTCAAATAAAAACGTGGTCAAGTTGGTTCTGAAAATTTGGACGTAGGGCGTAGCGTATAGCAAATGAACTTAAACGTCATCTGTCAAAGCGCTATATCGCCGCTATCAATTTGAATATTTTCGTTTTAAAAAGCGTTTAAAATGGTGTTTTCTCAAGAACAAAAAGTGTTTATCATAGAGTCCTACTTTAGAAATGGACGCAAGATTGATGGAATATGGAAGTATTCTATTGAGGAATGTTTCATAGAATTTCAAAATCAATTTCCCGGCGTTGTTGAGTACAAAATTTTTCAAAGTGCAGTTCAGCGTTGTGTTAATGTTTTTCGTGAAACGGGCAGTGTAACAAGAAAAGAAGGAAGCGGCCGACCTAAAAAGCGGACTGAAGAATTAAAAGAAAATGTCCAACAAATAATGGAAAATGCGCCAAGAACTTCTGTACGTGTTTTATCACAAATGGTGGGAGTATCAGTCGGTACCTGCCACACAGTGTTAAAAAAAGATTTGCGTTTGTTCTCCTATCGTTTAACTTGTCAGCAAGAACTTCATGAAGTTGATTTTCCGCGACGGGCTGTATTTTGTGAATGGTTTTTAAACAACTACGGTGAACTTCATAATATCACCTTTTTTTCTGATGAAGCCTGGTTTCATTTAAGTGGTTACGTAAACTCACAGAATATGAGAATGTGGTCTTCTGAAAAACCAGATAACTTTTTTGTCGAGGGCCCTCTACACGCTCAAAAAATTGGAGTTTGGTGTGCTCTCAATCGAAGGAGGATTTATGGACCTATTTTTTTTAATGGTACTCTTACTGCGCAAAGGTATAGAGAAGAAATTATCGCTCCTTTTGTTAACCAGCTGGAAGAAAACGAAATTACAAACTTTTACTTTCAACAAGATGGCGCAAGGGCACATACGGCAGGCGAGACGATGAATATGTTGAGGGAAGTTTTCCAAAATCGACTAATAAGTCTCAATGCTGAACATGAATTTCCACCGAGGTCATGTGATATTACGCCGTGTGATTTCTTTTTGTGGCCTTACCTTAAAAACACTATTTTTGAACTGCCTATTCCTGATTTAAACCATCTGCAGGCTCGACTTATAGACAAGATTCGTGAAATTAACAATACCCCGAGCATCTTAGAAAATGTCTTTAATTCTTTGAGGAACAGGTGTGAAAAGTGCTTGGAACAAGGAGGGGGACACTTTCAGCAGCTGCTTTAATTTATTGTTATAACAAGGAGGGGGACACTTTCCGCAGCTCCTTTAATTGTTTGTTATTGTTATCACGATTATTCTTTAAAATAAAGTTATATAGTCATTAACGTTATTGAAACTGACAGCTGCTATACAGCTCGTTGAGAAATGAGGTTAAGTTGGTCGCTATAAGCTACTCCCTACGTCCAATGTGTCAGAGCCAACTTCGACCACGTTTTTATTTGAACGCTCGTTATAAGTACGTCCTACCACTAAGCTCTTATCACTTTTATAAGATTCATTAGATAAAACTATACGCAACAAAAAAATTTCTTATGACGACACACTTTTGATTTTGTTTCAATAATATGATAGATATGTATAGTTTATTTACAAACAGACATGTTTATAAATAAAACTGAATTTTTTAATAAAAAATGTTATCATTTAAAACATCATTTATTTGTGGGGTCCTAACTATAAACTTGAATGTCTTATCTAAAATTGTGTTCTATACTATACAATTTTAGAGGACCTTAATAAAATAGTTTTTTTACGTATCTCTAACCGTTTGTCCACGGTTAGAGTGAATGAAAGGAAAAACTTTTCTATTATATATTTTACGATTTAACAGAAAGAGAGAGGCACACAAAAGCTTTGCTTGTATTTAAAATAATCTGGCCATAGAAAAAGTTGACAGTTACCTACATTAGAGTAAACCACCTTTATTTTTACTCTTTCGAAAAAGTGATATTAAGCAAAAGGCGTACCAAAATGTTTTTGAATAAAACAAATCGTACATAAAACTGGCTTAACAACCTAATAAGTTTGGATTAAAAGTAAAACACTTTTATTAATGTTCACACAAATTTGAAGAAGAAGAAATTCGTCTAATATCTTCTACCTCCGTACAGCTTCTCTATAATATTAGCCTAGCTGGTCGACGTTATTGTTCAAAAGTCATCGGTATAGTCGGCCCCAAGAGTAAAAGCTCATGATTGTTAAATGAACCCCATGGAAGCCATGAATATGGGCCATACGCTCCAACCAGCAATTGGAATATGTATCCTATAACCAGGTCCTAACACTTATAGCGAAATCCGCCGGACAACTAGGTATCTTGCCGGAAATAAAAATAATTTTGGCAAACCAGTCATAAATGAACTTATTAGGGCAAACATTTGCAGCATATTCACGTAGTTGTTCTCGTTGTAAGTACTTTCAAAAAAATATGGTATTATTATTCCATAAAAGGAAAGTTTAAAATATTGTCATCTGGACGGTATTCTAAAATGAGGATTCTCGACACCACAATATAGCAAATATTACAAACCATCTGTCTAAAAAGTGGATTCGTCCCAAAATATAATCAGTTGGTGAAAAATTTGTTTGAATGTCAGAATTTTATTTACAAAGTTTTTTCTGTATATGGGAGTTTTCCACAACTTCTAAAGTATTTTAAGCCTGTTTTTATTGACATCGAAGGATATTTATTCACTGACTGGAACCAACACAGTAGTTTTCACGATCACAATCTACTATTTGAAGTAAAATGCCATAATAAAATTTTCTATAAATAATTTTTCTTTCCCCATGACGGAGAAGAAGTTTTTCCTCGTATCAATTATATCCGTCGACACACCTTTTAATAAACAAAATGTACCAGTTTTGCCATAACTTGGAATTCTTTCGTAATTTGTAATTCCGAACAACTTTTCCTTTTCGCAATTGTAAAAATAAAGGTAATTTACCGTAAAATGTCAAATAAAAAAGTTTTTTCTTTTGTCCACTCTAACACATTGTATATGTGTGTGTGTATCTTGTTATTGACTTTTCTTTTTTAAATAAACAAAACAATGTCATGCATATAATTGTACAATCTATTTCAGAAACATTCGTTAACAACCAAATTACAAAAGTGGGTAAGATGCGTCGGTGGCAACACCGCATTGGTTGTTCCTGTTGCGGGCCATTTTGATATATCCGTTCTCTCCCCAATCAGCACCCCAAGAGTTCTTGACCAGCCAGTAGTCGAGACCATTCTGATTTCCATAACCGACGCCCAAAACTCCATGGTCCAGTTGTTCGTCACAGCGGCTATCATCGAGAACACCCCCAGCGTAGTACTGGAAATAGTCCGCGTTGATGTCTAGGGATACCGGGCCCACGTTGACTGTAAGAAAAGCGTGAAATGAGAAGTAGCAAGACAAACTTTCTTCTAAACTTGTAACCAAATGTACTACAAATTAAGTTAAATTGGAAGCGTTCAATCAGTTATTGTTGGTTCTTCAGAAAAAATTTAAAAACTGAAGGTTAAGGCTGCTAGTCACTTTTCATGTTTGTTGTAGTCAGTGACCTGTGATATTCCGGTCCTTATTTTTTACCTCAGGTAGTTCTAAGCGAAATTGATCTATTTTTCTTAGATTTCTAATGTTTCTGAGTAGAGTTCTGGAAAATATATTATTTCTCTTACTAGAATTTTGGTATTACTTGGTTCTATTGCTAATTCATCTCTGTTGGTACTCAATAGATCTAAAATGATGAAACTTTGCACAGAAGTGATAGAACCAAGAAAAAACAGAATCATTTCAACCGAAATAAGTGACTAAAACTCTTGAATATGGAAACAATTCGTATGTACTAACCACTGTCTTCGAATTATCAAACCAAAACACAATGGATCAGTACACAGCAAATATAAATACCGACCAATAAACTTCATCTCTAGTTTCTGAAGAAAGACATGAAATGTCTTTCCAAACGTCAAGACACTACCACGAAGACTTGGAAGTTTTGGTTTAACTGATTGTTCCTGAGGCAATAATTTGTAGTTTAATCAGAATTTAAGTTTAAAAGCGCCTGTTTTAAAAGGGAGAAATAATATTTTCTCATCGCATTTCACTGCTGTATCATAAGCAATGTCTCTCTAAATACAAAAAGTACCTAACTTTATCTATCTTCGATATCTTAGTTATCTTTATTAAAGATAACCGAGTGACATAAACAAGCAAATTTGATTGATATCTACTAATCTTTAATTGCCTTTCTGAGAATCTTTGTCTTTGAAAAAGGAAGCAAACACTTCACCTAAGTTTTGAAAAGGTTATGTTTCTTTCGAATCTCTACACAATAGAACAGAATGAAGGCCATTTTGCTTACCAATAGCGTCCAGCAAAGCGTTTTCGTTTCCCCTAGGAATGTTCACATAACCAGCGGCTCTAAATACGCTTTTGGAGCTACTGAACTGACAAGACTGGTCGACAGCTCTATAAGGGTAGTCTCTCTCTGACTCAATTCCGTAGTCTTTGACGTAGTCAAAAGCGTACTGCATCCATCCTCCGTCGCATCCGAAGTTGACGCTGTTGCAATCGACCAAGTTTTGCTCGCTGAGGCTGACGAGGGAACCAGTTCTTAAGGCGTAGGCCCCTTCCAGAGCTCCAGTCTAAAAACAAGCAGGTGTTAGTACTTTTTGATTTTTGAAATGTTTTGGTTTAGGCGAAAATAAGCCTTCACCGATCTTTTATTATTTGTTAAATATGCGCATATTTATTTGTAAAGGACCAACAAAAAAAAATTAAGTGACTTACAGCGCTGAATGCCCAGCAAGAACCGCACTGTCCTTGATTCTTGACCTCAGTGACGATTCCCTGAGGTAGCCAACTGAAAGAGGCTGGAGCTTGGACACCGGACTCTACGTGGTAAGCTGTAGGTTGCGACTTTTGTGGTCTCAAGGCAGCGCTCCTGTTCAACGTGACCTTGAACTCAACCGGGGTCATATCAGTGAACTGGTTGATTCCCATGTAGTAGGATGATTCCCCTTTGGCGTATTTCGCATTGTGTGTTTCGATGACGCGCAAGTTGTCTTGGAAGATGGAGAATCGCTGCTGTTCCTCTCTTAGGTTTCTGTAGTCTCGTCCAAATTTTTGCTAAACACCACATTGATTAATTAATCATATATTTTTTTTTATTTAGGCCTTTTTAAAATAAATATTAGATGTTTCAAGTGAATTACCTTGAATTCCAACCACTGCTCTTTGTCAGTTGCGGCATTAACTGCCAAAACTAGAGAAACCAGAAGAACCAAGAACTTCATTATGATTTTTCTGGAAAATATATGAACAAATCAAAATATATACTCCAATAATAATAATGAAGAAACAAAATTGTAGCATTGAACAATTTATATAGAAAATACGAAATAGGAAAATTTATTTAATACCTACATTACCAACAAATGGTACTCAATGTATTGTATTTAATTTTACTGTAACTGTGTTAGCTATATTTTCTTTTTTACTATACATAGAATACTTATACACAATTATGTTAAATAAAATGTCAAAAATGATATATATCTCAATATTTTTTGAAAAAATATAGTATTTTCTCTCGTGATGTCCTACATTTATTAAAACACCACTACTTCTTGCATTAATCAGAATGATAGCACTATTTTTCTTACCTCTCGAACAGCACAATGAGAACTAAGAAAAGTGCGAATCCTACCACTATATATTACAAATTCCTATCTTCAGATCTGGTCATCTTCAAAGGTAAGATATGAATTTCGACGATTGTTATCAACAATAGAATCGACTTTGTTACATTGTAATGATGTCGATAAAAATAAGAGATGTTACAATCAATTTCTGGAATATTTTTATCTGAAGATACGTTGAATAATATATCTGTCGAGTCTAGATGTAGATCAGAAACAATCTGATATTGAGCTTTAAATTTTGTTGTAAAACCTTAAACTGAGATTGATTTTTTCTAGTCTTTTGTTTAATAATGTAGCAAATGCTTTACTTGGATAATAAATACTCTAATATTTATAGAAAAACATAAAACTACGGTTTATAGGAAAAATACAATTACTTAGTTTATTGTGATTATTGACACCTTTTTCAAGTTCCACCGCCTACTTATCGTTTTAATGTGGATCAATATTTTAATTTCTACTAAAAGTTATAAACAAACAATACATGACGTACTATTTGACGGAGTCGTCGTGTATGAATATAACAAATTAAAAACTTGGATTTTGTTATTTAAATAATTGTTTTTGTTTATTGTTTACGTGGACATTTTTTTAGTTTATATTTTTATATTTTTGTATAAGTATTACCTACAACTGTTATTTTTTTGCTGCATATAATAGTTTATCATTTATTTTTTATAATAAAAAAAGAGAGAAGAGAAAGCTTTTTAGCAAAATGCTAAGCTGTACAATAATAGTCGTAAAAATTTTTGACAACAAACTCACACTACAGTAATTAAAAAAATCAATAATTAAAAATTCATACATCCAACAATTAAAAAATTCGAGAATTCGCAACTATTTTAAGTCCTTAACATGTGCGGAAATTAAATTTTATATCAACTCTAAACATAAGGTATTTTGCCTACCTACTAGGTATACTTCTACGAGGATTTTTTTTAATAGTGCGCTAATAGAAATATTTAGTGTTATGCGGTTGGCAGTACTGCGTTGCGTAGTAAAACTATTGTGTAAAATTTTCATTTTAGCAACAATTCTTTTTGTAATAAACACATTTGGGGACATTAAATTGAAAAATTAATTGTGTAAAAACCATCTTAATGCAATTCTCAATACTTATTGTGTAATATTTATATTTTAATAAAAAATAAAAATATAGAAGTTAACTTATCATATTTTTAATTAACTTTTAAATAAACAAATGAAAACTGTAATGACTTCTCAGTCAGATAATAAAGTTTTTTTTTTAATTACATCCATCCATCATATATTTAAGTTTAATATTTCGTAAGAAAATTTGAGTGGCCAGTATTAGTTTAAACAATATAAATTTTTATATCGCTTGAACTCCAGTCAGCCCACATTTAAAAAAACTTTTCTATAATTAAACATTTTATTAAACTTTAAACTTTTTTTATATTTATAACAAATATAATATAAAAAATTATTGCTTTTATTAATAAACAAAGACAACAAAAATAAAATGAATAAATAAATTTAAATTTGACAGTAACGTGTTACCGTTTTTTTTTGGTTGTTTCTTGAAAACTTTATTGATAATAGTTTTATCATCTTCTGGAAAAAAAACAACCTATACAACATATACAAAACTTTTTTGTAATTTTTCAAGAATACGAAAAGAAACAAAACAGATCTAGAAGATGATCATTTTTAATTTTACTTTCGTACGCAAGTAACTCAAATGTTTTAATTCAAATGATTTAGCTTAACTACATATCTACTATATTTTATATTGCAGGATTTTCTAGCTGAATTTTACAAGGAATCTAGCACGCCTCTAATAAGCACATATTTGTCAACACTGTGCGAAATTATTCATTTCCCGACCAGCAACTGGTGTTGAAAAATATGTTTTGAATATAGTGGAGTAAAGGTAGCTTAAAAATATGCATTATTTCGGAATAATTAGCAGAGCCTTGGATTTCCATAAAACCTTTTGCAATCGCCTTGAAACGGCTTATAGAAAGAAGTTATAAACTTGTATTTGTACGCTAATTATTATTTAATTGTTTAAACAATATAAAATGGGTTTTCAAAGCTTATTTTCAATAGATCAAAAAATTGCAAACCAATTTTAATCAAATTGATACTATAGGGGTTTTCGAGGTTTTCGAAGCTGAATAAGAATATAATGTTAAAAAATAAAAATTTAAAATGGCCAATCCAATATGGCCGACTTTTTTTTAACAATTTATTAAAAATTGACAATTTTCAAAGCAATTTTAATCAAATTAATATTATTGGGGTTTTCGAAGTCGCTGAACAAGAATATTATATCAGAAAGTAAAAATTCAAAATGGCTGATCCAATATGGCCGACTTTAAAAAAAAAATATTTAAAAATTACAAATTTCAAAGTAAATTTAGTTAAATCGACATTATAGAGCCCTATAACAATAATTTTGGGGTTTCTGAACAATAATATTATATCAGGAAATGAAAATTCAAAATGGCTGATCCAATATGGCCAACTATTTTAAACAATTTATTTAAAAATTGCATTTTCAAAGCAATTTTAGTCATACCTATTGATATTTTTAGGATTTTTCAGATCATTGAACAAATATAAAATGAAATCAACTCGTTAAATTTTAAAGAAATTTGGGTATGATGACTTCCGCAAAAAGTCAATATAATAACAAATTTATTAAATATGAAAAAGTATTTGCATATTAAAAATAGAAATATAAAAATATAACAATATTCAATTTTCATTCTCTTGAATCATTGTAGGTTCTGGCAATTGGTCTGATTCTCGTTCTTCTTCGAAAAATGTTTTGCAATTGAGACAATCAGTTCCGCAACAATTAGAGCATGCTATGGTGCAAAGTAGACCCGCCTTCCGGCAACCGCATGCGCCAGGTGAGCTCCATTCACCGAGCAGATGTTCTCTCTATCTCTTTCTAATATTCAAAAATATTAGTCTCGAATCACCAGAATGAATTACATTACCAGATAAACTTCTACTACATAATTTCATCATGAAAAAATATAGGTAAAACTGAATCTCGCGACAATTTATTAAAAAACCGTATTTTTTCGTATTTTATACAATATTAAAGTAACAATTTTTTTTTTTTCGTTAATTACACTTTTTTTAGGATCATAGTTTCAAAATATATTGGTTAAATAAGCAAAAAAAATTTTTTTTTAACGTTATTTAAGTTTATTTAATAACAAATTTCATCGTTTTAGAACAAAACAAAAATTTTTAATTTACGGTTATACGGGCTATTGGCGAATATCTCTATAATAAAAAATGACATGGAAATTTATTCATATTTATCATTTGAGAGCGGATTAATAAAATATCTAAATAGTTGTTTATTATTTTTTATAAAATCTGAATGAAATTTCTGCTCGTGAACATCAGTTTTTCTATAATATTGTACATGTAACTAAAAATGTCCAGATGCATTTAGTCGTTTGACCTTGAAAATTTAAAAATTTTTGCCTGCTGCGTTCTCTTTTTCTTTCTTGCCCACCTAGTAAAAAAACCACGGGCCTCATTATTCACAATGTCACGAGCCGCTACTGTTATGACAAACGTTTTGAATAAGGTTTTAAATTTTTCTTGATTGACTGATTATCCACATCTTCTAAAGATTGAAAATTATATTGTGTATTCATACACGTGGGTAAAACAACTGGGTACAAACTTCTGATAACAGTATCTATTATGATGATTTTAATTTATACAACATAAAAAAACTTTTATTTCTAAAATTTCTTTTGTTTATTATTATTTCTAGTATTTGTTTTTTATATAATCACATAGTTCAAGTTAAATTTGAAATAGAGAGAATAAATAGGGTGGCAAAATTAAAGGCAGCATTTTTAAAATCTATATAATTTATTCAACATTTCAACTGAAAGGAGTCAACGAAGGACATAATTAAAAGTATGGGTAGGAAGCGTCATCGGCAACACCACATTGGTCGTTCCTGTTCCGGGTGATCTTGATGTAACCGCTGTCTCCCCAGTTGAGTCCCCAGGAGTTCCTGACCAACCAGTAATCGACTCCGTTCTCGCTTCCGTAACCAACAGCGACAACTCCATGATCTAAATTTGTCTTATCGCAAACACTTTCGTCGAAGATTCCTCCGGCATAGTAGACCATGGGGTCAGCATTGACGGCTATGGCGATGGGACCAATATTTGCTGAAGAGAGAATATGGAAAGTAAGTGAAACATTCAAGAAGAAAATATTTTCTTTTTGGTGAGTACTTGCCAACGGCATCCAACAAGTCGCTTTCGCTCTGGGGGATGGCTACGAAACCTCCGACGTTGGTAATACTCTTGGATCTGTCGAACTTGCAAGTTTCCTCGCGAGCTGTGTATGGGTAGTCGCTCTCTGTCTCGATTCCGTTGTCTCTGATGTACTCGAAGCCGGCTTCCATCCATCCTCCATCACATCCATCGTTTATGGTGGAGCAGTCAACCAAGTTTTGTTCGCTGAGGCTGTACAAAGTGCCGGTTCTGATTGCGTAAATTCCTTCCAAACATCCAATCTAGAAAAAAGAACTAGCTGTTTGTCCTGGACACGTTACCACTGTCAATTTGTAATTAAAATGGTTTGGTTATTTTTTAACTCAATCGGATGTAGACAGAAGTTGACACATTATTGAGTGTAATCGAATGACACCCTCTGCGTAGACTGCTCTCTTAATACTTACGGTGCTGAATGCCCAACAAGAACCGCAGTCTCCTTGATCCTTTATCCCATTGACGACTCCCTGGTTTATCCAGTTGACTTCTGAGGGAGCTGTCAGGCCACTATGCACGTGGTAAGCCTTGGGCTCTCCACGGACTGGTTTGGTAGAGGCGCTGTAGTTCAACATGGCCTTGATTTCTTCAGGAGTTCTGTCAGCGAACTTGTTGACTCCCAAGTAGTAGCTCGACTCTCCATTTTCGTACTTCTCATTGTGTGTCTCGATCAAGCGCAAGGTGTTTTGGAAGACGGTGTATCGCTTTTGTTCTTCTTTCAGGTTCCTGTAGTCGCGTCCAAAGTTGTCCTGGAAATTTTGTCATAAGACAAGTAAAGATATCAATTATAAAGCGATTGAATTTTGTATCATCTTGATTGAGAGACGGGTGACGGATACGAAGGTCCTAAAGATAATAAACGACGTGCAGTACCACTTGAAAATATTGTTATTACATTGAAAGAAATGGGCTTATTAAACTGTTTATCTAGAACTGGACAGTTTTGGGAGCGATTTGTCATCATTTTTAATGCTTAAAACTATGTTTTGTGTATGTTTACATTAGAACCTTAGCTTGTAATTAGTTATCCAATAAAATTTCTGAAAACTTAGTCGTATATTTTTAACTCATACAGAGTATACAACAGTTTAATACATTTATTATTATAGAACTTATAACCAGTACTAGATGTTCTAATAACGATATGGAACAGTTTAATAACAGTTATTGCTATTATTTCGTAAAGGGTATAAAAAACGTTGTATATTAGTTATACAATAATTTAATAAAGAATAAGGTTTATAGTCACTATAAAACTGTGCTAGCAGTACGCGTTTTATATCCAATATTCACCTATTTAACTGTCACATATAGTATACAATGGTCTTATAAGGGCATATAGAATTCTAATAAAGAATACAGCGCATTTCTTTCAGTGTAGTTATATAACTGTAATAAATTTTTATCTTTTTTTTCTATTTGTTATCTTATCAGATCAGTCGCAACTAATAGTAGCTACTAATGTTGTTATTTTTGTTTTGATAATAAAATCTTGATTACATTTTCAATTATAAAAAGAGTACAAAGGAGATCGGCTGATGTTGAGAGTTAATTAAAGATCATCTAGGTTCTACAATTTGTTAAAAGAAATTGAAAAAGTAGACTGGAAAACGTATCTGATTGTGAGTAAATCTGGGAAAGAAAGTAAAAATTCTGTATAAATTTATTTTCCACATCTTACACATTAAAAGTCGACTCAATTTAAAAAAATGGCATTCAACTTGAAGGAAACAACAATGTCGTAAATATGAGGAATGTTGGTTACATTTTTCTCAAAATTTATGACACGTCACTGAACATAAAATATGTTTATTGTCATTCTTGAACTGTAAATTTTTGAATGATTATTTATTATTTAGAATTTAGAATTATTATCTCGACTTTTTGCATAGTTCTTACCGAGTCAGTACAAATTATAAATTTATAAAGGTGCCGCGTTTAGATAAATTTAAAATTATACCATCAGGCGTTCACAGAAACATAATAAATAAATGTGGAAGAACATTTTCTTAGCCCAAATTAAAAAATATTTTCTGATATATACAAACAAATACAATACAAAAAGTCAGTTGAATAAAGGAATCTTTAAACGAATATGTGAATATGTGAAAAGATCTAAAGAAAAGTGTAGTAAGATACAGAAAACCCATTTTGAATAAGTGCAAACAAATTGAAGAATTATTTTTCATTTTGTTTAATGACAGTCATATTCTTTCCAGTAGCATGCCACGTTAAGATTTAATTTTTGTACTTTAAACGTCATTTTAATCACATATTGCGCACACAAAATTTCGTTTCAATATCGTTTCGTTTCAATATTTCGTTTCAATATCGTCATTTGTTCAGAAGATATTTAAAGATATAACATTTTTTTAAACATGGTGGGGTTTCAAAAATAATTTTATACAACAAAACATTGTTATATTCACTTTCTCTACTGTTCCATAGTTAAAATTCGGGATATTTTGCTGGAAAATTGAAAATTTCCAAGAAAAAAACTATCAAACTCAAATCGAATATTGCGCAATTAAAGTAAATTGTTCAGATACTTATAAAATCAGTGGTTACCTACGTTGATAAAAATGAGTAAGAATGCGTTATTTTATTGTCCCTAGCGCATTCGCCATTTATTAAAAGCTTTTATTTACATTTTTAGAAACCTACCTTAAATGCCAACCACTGTTCCTTATCAGTAGCGGCATTTATAGCCAAAACTACGGTTGCGAATACAATCAAGAACTTCATTATGATCTTTCTGAAAAAAAGGAAATCGTTAAACTTTACAACTACTTTAGATTATTATTATCCTATATTTATGAATATTTGGAAGCTCTGACTGAAATTTTTGATATTTTTTTTTGCAAAAATCAATAAGGGATGTTGTGCAAAACCGTACTTATCTTATCAACTTCGACGTCACCTGTTACATGAGTGTTGCACAATAATGAAAAAGTAATATTAACGGTCGGTAGAAGGAAGCGCAAAAACAAACGCTTAGGCAAACACAAAAGCCTAGTTAGTTGAAGATAGGCAATTGAAGTGCGAACAGTGTGGAGATCGGTAGTAAGACGATCGGCGGGCAGTGTGACAAAGTAGTGAAAAGTTAATTGTTTAAAGTGTTATTAGTTAGCAGGTAATATTCTTTAAGTACTTTGTTGTTAATTGTTCTATATAATCTTATGATTGTGATGATTATAGATGTTTCATGATAATAATTCTTTGTAAGTTTAGCTTCCATTGCTTTATGCTCAAGGGCATATATTTTTCCAAGGTAAAATTGTTATAATTATACTTAAAGTTTGCCCATTATTTATTTCATGTTAAAAATATATGTATTGTCCTGATTGCCAGACATTACAATAACGACTTCTTTGTTTCACATCTAACTTGTTTTTGCCACGATTACGTTATACGTAAAATATAGATGTTTCATGATAATAATTCTGTATATGTTTAGCCTTCATTGTCTTACGCTCAGGGGCGTATATTTTTCTAAGATAAAATTGTTACAATTATTATTATAGATTGCTCATTATTTATTACATGTTAAAATATGTATATTGTCGTGACTGCCCAGATATTGCATTAACGACTTCTTTGTTTCACATTTAACTTGTTTTATCATGATTAGGTTGTTCTTTGATTTCTTGTGCTCACTTTATGTCATACGTCTATACGAGCCTTGTTGAGTTTACTAACATTTTCGCCCGTGCGGAACGAATCTGGATTAAGCTCGATTGCCTCCCGTATGGGACTCCAGTGTTATGAAGGATCTTCCGAAATCTCAACTATAGCTGGATTGCCTCCCGTATGGGACTCCAGTACCTTCCGGCTCTGCCGGCTAACTAACACCAAACCTCTTCAGTTTTACTTGGAAGTGTGTATGACTAATATGAGGTAACAGATGACATTTAGTGACACATTAAATGAGACAGGTCTTATTTATCATTAGCAAAGGTTCTTAATTTATGCCTTTGGTTAGCGGTTGTTTTGTATTTATATTTGGGTGGTAAGAGCAACGATCGTGGGTTTCTCTGCCATGTTCTTTCCCCACAGGAGCTCTAGGTGAGCCTGGCACTCTCCTTTTATGTTTAATGATTTTTAATGTTATTGTTGTTCTTTCTATTTGTCACATGTTTAATTTGAATTGTATGTAAATAAAAGTTAGGTGTATTCACTCTGCTTTTGTTTTATATAATAGTAGCCAGCGCCTTCCGGTCAATTAAAAAAAAATAGATACATACAACATAGGTATTCCTTATGACGATCACATATTTTTGGCCACAACTACGTTTGTTTATGTTTTTTTATCGAACCCTGGGTATGTTATACTACAATGTTGAATATTTGAGTATTTGTTCATAATTTCTAAACAGTAAGTAACAGACCTCAGTTATTATCTATAATGGCGTTCTGTTGAAGTTTAATAACAAAATTAGGGGTTGCTACTTAATAAATTATATATAGAAATAACTAACCGTAAAATTTTTAAATCCCAAAAAGTAAAAACGTTTTTAGTTTTTCGCAAAACTTATTCGTTGTTATTCCACCCTCAATATTCCTGACCTTTTTACACTGAATTGATGCAAACATTTCAAAAATTTTGGAGTTTCATTTTTTGCTTTTACGAAAAAATTAAAACAAAATTGAAAAAATAAATTTGTTACATTCTGATCTAAATTCTTGAAGAAAATCTATTGTAATACTGAATAGCTGTAGGTGTAATGGGAAAAATTAGTCCTTTTCAATTCAGTACAAAATTCTTTAATTTTATTTCCTACTAGTTCCGGATATTACGCCATCTTCAAATGTTCAAATATAAAAAATATCACTATATTATACATCTCTTTAAGTCATCGCTACTGATTGAGGACAAACGATAAATTATTTTGTTTTATTGATGTTATTGTTTGATTTTATTGTTTGTCTGACTTAAAAAGTTTTATAGTATACTGACATTTTTCATATTTGAACAAATTGTTATGCTATTTATCAATAGTTTTATTATTTATATTCCATTGATTGTCATTTCCATTTTTTCCCCTGAAGACGTTATAATAGTCGAAACTAGTAGGAAAGAAAGGCATTGTTAGATGATAATTATTAGAAGTACCATATAACTAAATTAAATCATTGTACTATTTTTAATATAAGTATGAAGATTAAAATACGAATTTGAAAGAAACAATGAATTTCCTAACACATTCTTTTTTATAAATTATCACATCTAATGGTGCACACGAAAATTGCTATTAATGTTAATAAAAAAAAATACTTTCTTACCTTGCGAACAACACAACGAGCACTTTACTAAAATACCTTCGGACGTTTCTTCCTTATATATTACCACTCGTGGCAAAAATTTAAAGAATGTCAAGTGGAAGATACGATCGAGTTAATTGTCTATAAATAAAAGAATTTGCCATAGCGATGTCAACAGTCGAAATAAATACAGAAAAGTATAGGACTTGCTTTGTTTAACTTTTTGTAAATGCAAAAATAAATGTTATACTTAAATTTGAAAATTACTTTATCTTTGATTTCAAAAGAGTGATCTCGTTTAAGTAGTCATTGATGTCAAGGCTGGAGTGGATTAAGAAGTTTCTGGGCAAAACCGTTCTTGTTATTAAAAAACAGGTTAAGGTGCATTTCTTCGAATGTTGAACCCTTTATAGAAAATACCTACACTATTTCAATTCAATATGTAAAAATATAGCGATACGGCAAACTTTCTAGAAATGTGAAATTAAGTTGTCTTTTTACGCTAAATAATGATAATAACAATTACTATTTGTATGTATTTACATGTCAGTTTATACTTTGTGAAATTGTTACCTGAATCATGTCTGTTTTGTCTGCCAGATTATTTAAGATATTTTAAGACTAAATTGTTTAAATTATTAGATAGAGAAATCATTACAAGATCTTTCTTTCTTCCTTTATTATTAATTTTTGTAGATTTACTTTACTATTTTTAAATCATCAAATGAATTCAAAGTTCTTTGGTGCCAAGAATGTAGGTATGAAAAAGATATCCAACCTAAAATAAAGTAAAAATACATTATTTTGCTTTATATTTCAAAAACTTCTCCACTTTCGTTTTGAAAACAATGCTTTTTATTGTATAAAAATGTGACAACTTATTTGTTTATCTGCTTTCCTAGTCATGTATAGGTATATCTAATCTGTCATCTATCCAATTGTGTTTATTGAATTGAAATTTAACCTTGAATTCGCTTGCTGAAATAAAAGTTTTTTAAGATTGCTTTATATGTATTAAAAAATAAGTAAACTTTTATTTTAAATTTAATATTATAAAAATAGCTCGGTAGAACAATTTCCGCGTTGGTTGTCACGTCGTCAATTTAGTTTTCTTGATTTTTCAAGTACCTAACTCTGAGTTTTCGAGTTTTTGAAAACAGCAATATGTCTCCCATACGTCAAGAAATCTAAACCGACGACTCCAAATAAAACACATTTCTCTAATATTTTTCTGAATTACTTGTACACAAACGAGATCAGTTCTTGAAAATTCAACATTAAAAAAGATTACAAGAGCGCGGTACCCTATCCAGGGACACACTGTACAACATTTTCTTATCACTTCGAATAATCGTCACAGAAATACTCCTATATGATTTCATTACAGATTTTCTCAATATTCGTCAACTGTATCATTAATCTCAGATAAAGAAACTTCGTTTGTTTTAAGTTGGTGTTATTAAATATCTAGTTAGCGTGTCTCGTCAACTGTCGATAAATAGTTGAAGAGCTCTTTAATGATAACAAAAACATAATAATTTAATAATAAAAAAATAGTATAAGAGTTATTTAATTTATTTTTAAGGATGTCTGCACTTAACTTTTTAAATACGTGAACAACGATATGAAAGACTAATTAAAAGTATGGATACGACGCGTCGTTGGCGATACCGCACTGGTTATTCTTGTTGCGGACCATCTTGACGTAACCGTTCTCACCCCAGGACGCGCCCCAGGAGTTCTTGACCAGCCAGTATGGCACGCCGTTCTGGGTACCGTAGCCAGCGACGAGGACTCCGTGGTCCAAATTTACGCCGTCGCAGGAGCTTTCGTCGAAGACGCCTCCGGAGTAGTGCTGGAAGTGGTCGGCGTTGATGGCAACGGCGATGGGGCCGACGGTGGCTGTGAAAAAAATTTACAAGTGAGAATAAGCAGAGCATAAAGGCGCCAAGTTTGCCAAACTACAAGATTCAAAACAAAGGCGAATTTAACATACCGGCAGCGTCCAGGAGGGAGCTTTCACTCTGGCGGACGTCTTTGTAGCCTGAGATTCTGAATACGCTCTTGGAGCTGCTGAACCTACAGGAGCCATCACGAGCCGTGTAAGGGTAGTCTCTCTCTGTTTCGATGCCGTTCTCTCTGACGTAGTCGAAAGCGTATTGCATAACTCCTCCGTTGCATCCCGCGTTTCTGCTGGAGCAGTCCATCAGGTTCTGTTCGCTGAGGCTCACCAAAGAGCCGGTTCTGATGGCATAGGCCCCTTCCAGAGCACCCGTCTGTAAAAAAATAATATTGTAATCATCATTAGAATTAGAATTTGCAATTAATAGACTAGGCGGCATCTGTTTTGGTTTGGGTGAATCGTATATCCACGGAGATTTTTGGCTTTTTGGCTTTCAAATATCATTAGTAATGAAAATTTTTCTATGCGCATAAAAAAACGTGGGCTTAACTTTTGGCGGCACAATATGTTAAAAAAATTCGAAAAATGTCATATTTTTCTTCCTATTTAATTGTGTATCTTTTCAAGAGTTGATTTTAGGCGAAAATGGAAGAGGAAAAAAATGTTTGTAATTAAATTTTTTACAAAACATGACTAGTTACAAATCGAATGAATCATGATTATTATGGTAAAAATCGAAAAAATCGCAAAAATGGGGTTAAAAAACAATACTTTTTAGGGAATTTTTTTGGGGTATTTAAATTGGGTATAGGACCTTTATACTTGGCTCAAAAAAACTTCATGTTATGTAGAATTATCACACCAAATTTCATCAAAATCGGTTCGATAGATTTTGCATAATAATTTTGCAATCCAGATTTTGAAAAAAAATTTGCAAATTTTCAAAATTTTGCACAGCAAAAACCAAGGCCCTTAGATACTTGAAAATTTAATCACATATAGAAGGGCTCTCAAGCTTTCAATCGCTTTTTGAAAAATTCGAATCCGTCAATTAGGAGAGCTCTGGCGCTTGTTTAAACATTGGTCGAATTTTTTTACTTATAAACAATTAAAATAACTGCGAATATTCAATCAAATCAAATTTTTTAAAGCAAGTTTTAAGTTATTGGAAAGACGCTTCTTTAAAAAACAGATCGATTGGTCAATTAGTTACGTAGTTATAGTCGATCAAAGTTAACCGTCATTTACACTAAATGTACTTGGACATCCGGGCAAATTTTTCGAAAAATACCTTTGGTATTCCTTACCAGGTCTAAATTTGCAATACTTTTCTTCATTGGCAATCTACGTTAAAACGTGTTTAAAGTTATCTATACAAGCGAAAAATTCAAAAAAATCGTACGGGTGGTGTTGGGGAAGCAGAGAGCGCGGCCGCTTCGGCCTGCTCAAAATTGAATGAGCGAGTTCAAAACCGCTATGCGCTTAAAAATTTTTAATATCTCAGCTTCTAGAGATCCGATTTTGATGATTTTTTTTTTAAATCGATGTCTCGCGATTTAAAGAAAACAATTAGCGCATTTTCAAATGCCTATGGTCTTTCAACAGTCCGATAATTATTTACTTTTAAACTTCTTTTAATTATCAACTTTATTTTTTTATTGTATCAAAAGTAAGGGCATAAACTTATATACCGTTTATCAAAGATCAAAAACAAATTTATTTAAATATTCTAAAATTGTTTAAACAACAATTATTTTCAAAATATGTCGAAAATTAATTAATTAATTATTAATTTAATCATCATTTCTTTTGTGATTAAAGTATAATTCAAATATTATTTATTGACTAAAATAAGGAATTTACTCATTATATCACAAAAATACAAAATTATAGTACAAAAATTCGACCAATGTTTAAACAAGCGCCAGAGATCTCCTGATTGACGGATTCGAATTTTTCAAAAAGCGTTTGAAAGCTTGAGAGCCCTTCTATATGTGATTAAATTTTCAAGTATCTAAGGGTCTTGGTTTTTGCATTGCAAAATTTTGAAAATTTGCAAATTTTTTCCAAAATCTGGTTTGCAAAATTATTATGCAAAATCTATAGAACCGATTTTGATGAAATTTGGTCTGATGATTCTACATAACATGAACTTTTCTTGAGCCTAGTATGAAGGTGTTATACCCAATTTAAAGACCCCAAAAAAATTCCCTAAAAAGTAATGTTTTTAACCCCATTTTTGGCGATTTTTCCGATTTTTACAATAATAATCATGATTCATTAAGTTAAGCAAAGTTTATACAAAAGTTAAGCCCACTTTTTTTTTATGCGCATAGAAAATTTTCATTTCTAATGATATTTGAAAGCCAAAAAGTCAAAAATCTCCGTGGATATACGATTCACCCAAATATGGACTTTTTGAAACAGATACCGTCTGGACTATAAGTAAATATATTCTTTCCGATTCATAAAGTTTTAAACATTTAATTTTTTTTTCAAAGCAAATCACATTGTACATAGTGATTTATTAATAATGGGTACACACCGTAAAGAAAGATTGGTGACGTCAAATTATGACAATTGAACAGTGTTAAAGTCAAAAAAACCTATTAGATTTTTTAATTTCTCTGAATAGATTAGTGCCTTTTACCAAGTATACTTTTTTTATTTAAACTCGATTTAATAATTTCTTCTGGAAACTCAGGTTTTTGAAGAGCAAAAAATTTAGACATACTTTTACACTGACAGGAGAATGTAACTAGCGCCCTCTACAAGTGACTCTAACACAGTTACCAAATTTTCAAGATAATCCGTACAGAGATACTCAAAATATTGCAAAAAATCTATTTTTTCGACTTTAATGCTGACATTTAAACTGTCATATTTACTTGCTAGTGTACGAATGACTTCAGTAGAACTACTTACGGTGCTGAATGCCCAACAGGAACCGCATTGTCCTTGATTCTTCACCTCGGTGACGACCCCCTGGGACACCCAGCTGACGGAGGCTGGGGCTTCTAGGCTAGTGTCCTCGTGATAGACGGTGGGACCTGTACGGAGAGGTTTCGTGGAGGCGCTATAGTTCAACATGGACGTGAACTCCTCAGGGGTAATGTCTGTGAATCGGTTGACTCCCATGTAGTAGGTTTTCTCTCCGCTGTTGTATTTCTCATTGTGTTCTTCGATGGTACGCAGATTGGTTTGGAAGATGGAGAAACGTACCTGTTCTTCTCTTAGGTTTCTGTAGTCTCTCCCATAGTTTTGCTAGAATTATAACATTAATTGATGTCTTGATATCCCTAGTTTTATTGCATGGTAATCGAGAGCAATATCAAGAATGCTTTGTATGGAAGTTATCAAAACACGATAGAGATCTAACTAGATAACTTTTTTTAATTGATTTTGTAATTTCACTTGCTGAAAATAAAAGGATTATATTTATAACAGGGAAAAATCCTAAAAGCAAATAGTGCTTCGGAAAAAAAGAAGAATATTTAGTTAATAATAATTTAGACATTTAATAATGACTTCTACAGTAAAATTTGGTTTAATAGCGTACATTATCTGTAAAAAATTAAAATACAATTTTTCTTTTAATTTGAAAAAAAATTGAATAAAAAAATTTCCCACTCTAGAACCTGTCCCATAACTGCATATTCAAAGACGATTATTTTGAGAATCTTTCGAAAAAAAAATTAATTTTTTGATTTAAAAATTAAAAAACAAAAAACTAAAAATGCATTATTTTTATATATTTCTTAAAAAAATTATATCTCAAAATTAACAAAATGAAAAAAAAAGTTTATGATATCTTTAGTATTCACCAAGATACAGGTATTTAAAAAAAATTACCAAAATATTAAAAACTTGAATAACATTTTGAAAGCTGCCCTAAATGAATACTAAATAATACAAAAAAAAACAAGAAAATTAAAAATGGTCGGGCCACGACCTTAGTGATTTAGATAATTACAGACAATTTTATTAGTTATTTTTTCTTCATAGTTTCTACGACATTATTTTTAAGTTACTTACTTTGAATTCCAACCACAATTCTTTGTCAGTTGCGGCGTTAATTGACAAAACTACGGATGCAAGAACAACTAAGAACTTCATCATGATTTTCCTGAAAGAGTCAGTTTATTTACTTTTCTCTAAATCTGTTTTCTGCAAAATATTTCTAGAAAACAAGAAGACCAAAATGTATGCATAGGTGCTCATAAACAAAAAATATTATTATATAAAAGTACATTTACATGTATAAAAAGTTATTTACACTATGTGTAAACAAAAAAAGTAATTGTAGTGCATTTTGTTTATAATCTTGTAAAATTAATAATTATTGAGTAGGTATATTATAAATAATAAATAAGTTAAAATATGTATAAAATTGAATTATATTCTTAATTTTTAGTAAAACAGCACAATTAATAAATTCCTTACCTTTCGAACAACACAATGAGCACTGCAAAATAATCTGTCTTCCGCCCTTATATAGTTCTTGTCCGTATCGTTAGATCTATACGTTGTTTGGCAAACTACGATACCATCTAGTTTTTTAGTTATCGAAGCAAAAATCAGATGATGCTCTCGACGCAAATTTACGCACTTCGAAAAGAACGAAGGTCGTCTGGTTTAAGTCATTTTTTAACTTACGTAAGTTTTAAGCTTATAAGACGCATTGCTTAAGTGAAATAGTGCTTCAAAATGTAGTGCACTTTTAAAAATATGCATTTTTCCTTTTCATAAACACAACTACTTTTTCTAATCGCAAATAATAGGAATTCAAGATTTTTTTCTGGAAAGGATGTCAAATTATTATTCTGTGGGCAGTATAGTCCAATTAACTAAGCCTTTAAATCGAAATTTTGCCAACTTGGCTGAATTTTTGATATGAGTTAGTTTAAGGTATATTATAACAATAAGTGAGAGTAATTTTTTGTTCAACCCCCGGCCAAGGGTGGAAAAAGATAAAACTAAGGGCTTTTTCAAGATAACTCAAAAAGGGTAAGCGCTAGAAAAAACTTTCATGAAAGTTGTAAAGCAGACAATTCTACATAAAAATGGCCTCTTAACTTTTTCTTGTACTATTACAATTAACAGAGTTAGGGAGGCTAGAAGTTAAGGGAAGATTTCAGAAATTTAAAAAAAATCATAACAAACAGAAAAATGATTGAATTTTGTAATTTTTTTTTCAATCTGCTCTAAAATATGTAACTTTTCTTTTCAGAGAAATAGATATATTTTTTAATTTTTAATAAGAAAGTTATAACAAAAAATCTAATTTTTAATCGTTAATTTTAATGATTTAACAAAATTAAATTTCTGATTTTGATGATTTTTTTTTAAATAGATGTCTTGTGATTTAAAAAAAAACAATTAACGTATTTTCAAATGTCTATCATTAACAATTATTGGTCTTTCAACAGTCCGATAATTATTTATCTTTAAACTTCCTTTAATTATCAATTTAATTTTTTTATTGTATTAAAGGTAAGTGCATAAAGTTTATACTGTTTATCAAAGATCAAAAACAAATTTCTATTCTAAAATTGCTTAAATAACAATTATTTTCAAAATATGTCGAAAACTGGTAATTAATTAATTAATTAATTAATTAACTAATTAATTAATTATTAATTTAGTCATCATTTCTTTTGTAATTAAAGTATAATTCAAATATTATTTATTGTTTAAAATATAAGCAAATAAGAAATTAACTCATTATAATACAAAACTACAAAATTTTAGTACAAAAATTCCACCAATGTTTAAACAAGCGCCCGAGCTCCTAATTGACGGATTCGAATTTTTCAAAAAGCGTTTGAAAGCTTGAGAGCCCTTCTATATGTGATTAAATTTTCAAGTATCTCAGGGCCTTGGTTTTTGCTGTACAAAATTTTGAAAATTTGCAATTTTTTTTTCAAAATCTGGATTGCAAAATTATTATGCAAAATCTATCGAACCGATTTTGATGAAATTTGGTGTGATAATTCTACATAACATGAAGTTTTCTTGAGCCAAGTATAAAGGTAGTATACTCAATTTAAATACCCCAAAAAAATTCCCTAAAAAGTATTGTTTTTACCATAATAATCATGATTCATTCGATTGATTTGTAACTAGTCATGTTTTGTAAAAAATTGAATTACAAACATTTTTTTCCTCTTCCATTTTCGCTCTCTCTCTTGAAAAGATACATAGTTAAATAGGAAGAAAAATATGACATTTTTCGAATTTTTTTAAGATATCGTGCCGCCAGAAGTTAAGCCCACGTTTTTTTTATGCCCATAGAAAAATGTTAATTTCTAGTGATATTTGAAAGCCAAAAAGCCAAAAATCTCCGAGGATACACGATCCATCCAAACCAAAACAGATACCGCCTAGTCTAGAATATAAGCTTCAGTAAGAAATTTCTTGTGGTTGTCCCTCGTGGTATAGACGTTTACGTATTTGACTGCTAACCTAGAGGTCGACGATTCGAATCCCGATGCAGGTCGGCTTTTTTTCAGCTAATATTTATTTCAATTATCATTTTTCCACATCAACTATTCAAAATATATATTTCGACACGAGTTGCTGGACGCGAAGTAAATAATTTCTCACTGTGTTGCCAGATATCTACGAATTAGACGCGCTAGATTCGATTCCTTGTTTAGTTACATAAAAATCTCCTAAAATCGTGTATATAAATTATAGATAGGTAAAAATTTAGGGAATACTTTGAATTAAAATATGGTAAATTAATTGTACAAAAAATTGCAATTAAATATGATGTTATCAAGTCGATTGTTCCTTTTATACTCTTGAACACAATAACAACCTCGCCCTTGCGTGGGGGTCCGTACGTTATCGATATTTTGGGAAATTGTCGTAATTAACACACACGGTGAGCACCTGATACAGAGGTCGACGGAGTTCGCAGCATCTTTGTTTTAACCATAGGAGAACGACTTGTTGCCAAACAATATCCACAGCTGTGCATAGTGATGATTTTCTGGAAATAGCTCAACGCGAAGTTGGCCGCGGCGACGGCGACGTCAAGGTCACGACGGATGTACAGCGGATTCAGGAAAAAGGGGTTATATTTAGCGATGCCCGTCGTGGGTCTTGTACAGGGCGTAACTCTATAACGTGTCAAAGTTGAAGAAGCTTTTTAAAAATTAAAGGTTTTCTGAAAATTCAGACTGTTTCGTAGAGCGATTGGAGAAAGGAAAGTTGTGGAAAATTTGACATAATCAAAAATAAGTATTCGTCGAAAATGATCCCTTGACATTTTTGCNAGAGGTCGGCGGTTCGAATCCCGATGCAAGTCGGCTTTTTTTCAGCTAATATTTATTTCAATTATCATTTTCCTACATCAACTATTCAAAATATATATTTCGACACGAGTTGCTGGACGCGAAGTAAATAATTTCTCACAGTGTTGCCAGATATCTACGAATTAGACGCGCTAGATTCGATTCCTTGTTTAGTTACATAAAAATCTCCTAAAATCGTGTATATAAATTATAGATAGGTAAAAATTTAGGGAATACTTTGAATTAAAATATGGTAAATTAATTGTACAAAAAATTGCAATTAAATATGATGTTATCAAGTCGATTGTTCCTTTTATACTCTTGAACACAATAACAACCTCGCCCTTGCGTGGGGGTCCGTACGTTATCGATATTTTGGGAAATTGTCGTAATTAACACACACGGTGAGCACCTGATACAGAGGTCGACGGAGTTCGCAGCATCTTTGTTTCAACCATAGGAGAACGACTTGTTGCCAAACAATATCCACAGCTGTGCATAGTGATGATTTTCTGGAAATAGCTCAACGCGAAGTTGGCCGCGGCGACGGCGACGTCAAGGTCACGACGGATGTACAGCGGATTCAGGAAAAAGGGGTTATATTTAGCGATGCCCGTCGTGGGTCTTGTACAGGGCGTAACTCTATAACGTGTCAAAGTTGAAGAAGCTTTTTAAAAATTAAAGGTTTTCTGAAAATTCAGACTGTTTCGTAGAGCGATTGGAGAAAGGAAAGTTGTGGAAAATTTGACATAATCAAAAATAAGTATTCGTCGAAAATGATCCCTTGACATTTTTGCTGTTTGTAAAGATGATGCTTTTAGATAAATGTAGAATTTAATGAAATACAATATGTCGTGTATTAAATTTATTTGACTAACGATCAATTAAAGCTAATCCTTGTTTTCACAATTGAAACTAAAACGTATTTTCTTTGTTTCAGAATATGCCCACAGAATGTATAACCAACCCTCTGCAGAGGGAACTCGCAGATTTCATCATAAGGATGGTACCTTTGGACGAAATAAGGATTCTCCTAGCTTGTGGTGCCAAGGTAACTAGTTAAAAAATACAAAAATAAAAAGAATATAAACAAGTAGTCAAAAACTATTCAATCATTGCGGATTTTTTTCTTGGCTCCTGTCGGACGTAGGATATATTTTTTAAATTCATGAAAAAATGTCAGCTTTCAAATGGCTATAATGCCATTCCCATTAAATTTCAACGATAAGAAAAAGATACTTATGCATTTTTCGACACAAAAAAAGTCAAAGTTTCGGTAGATTTTTCGCATATTTCCAATTTTTTGTAATACGCGCGCAAATTGTACAGGAAAGCACAACTCTTATAGCTATTTTACATTGACAATTTATTGATCAATTAATCGATGAAGTCGCTTCATCAAGAAATTGGACAAGTGTAATGCACCAAATCTGCTGTCAAATAACTTCATGAATTTATTCATCAAGTCATTGACAAATTAGAGCATGTTCTAATTTTCGTCAATTTCTTCGTGAAGTTCAGAAGAACCAACCCAACAGATTTCCAGCCTCAGATCAGTAATGAGGTTATGTCATTGGAATATGTAAATAATTGTGTGGCGTCGTACTAGTTTTGCATTGTTTTTACTGATTTGTTACTTACAAACACTAATATTTATATAATATGTGTCAGAACGGTACCGCTGTTGTATCGCTACAATTATGAGTGGAAAGGTGACATTTTTGAAATTTATTTGCTTCTTTGATTCGTTGGTAGAACTGATTCATGCGTCAAAAAACCTGACAAAGTCTGTAGCACTGTAAAACCACACTGTTTACCAATAAATTCGTGAATTAATTCATGAAGAACTTCGTCAATTTATTCATCAATAAATTGTCAACGTAAAACAGCTATTAGAAAAATGTGTTCAATATGGGGGCGGCGTTTTTGAAATGTAATGTTTTCATCATATTGCTTTGTTTACTTTTTTTAGTTTAAATGTTGTAATTATGTTCGTATTATTTAAAAATTACACTTGAATAAGATTTTTAATAATTAATAATTTTTAGTTTTGAATAAGTATTTTAGTTTTGTACTTTGTTCCCTGTATAAAAAATTACATTTTTGATAACGTGACTCTTACTCATTTTTCAGGCAAAAACTTTTATCAAGAATTTTAATTATACTCGCTATGCATTCAGAGCTTTTACAACAGATTTTGTTAAAATTGAAATCGATTGTTTAAGGCTTCAAAATTTAAAAATAAGAAAAACTAAATGCTATTACTAGACGAGTCTACCCGTTTCAAAAATTTAGTAACTGGTTTGCTAATTTTTATGCTAACTTAACTAGGGGTAGGGATAAAGAAGGGTAAAAATTTGGTAAATATATATATTATTCTATAACAAATTTCGATTATCTCATTGCACAAACCACTCAACTATAACTAGAAAAAATAAAAAAATGACTAAAATAAGACTAAAAATGCTATATAAGACTCAATAGCGGTTTGAAGAGTTTGGCCCATAACAAATAAAGGAATCCTAGGGTAAAGAGAAGTTTTGTGGCCAAGTCCACCAGCCACATCCTAAAAAAAAAGAAAAAGTTTTAATGTCGATTATTTTGCCCTCGTCGTGGCACTCAACGAAAATAATGCCCCAGTACATAAAAATTTCCCAATTTTTTTAGTGATATAACTTCGTGGTCGTATCGAGAAAAAAAAGAAGCACCTTAAAGCTTGAAGATTCTAGTTTTGAGATCTTGGAATGAAACATTTTTTTAGCAGCACTCTCGGCACAATCAAAAGAATTTTACATTTTTTTTATTTTCAAAACTTCTTAGAGAATTTTTTTCTGGTTTAATCAATGCCAGGATCATTTATCCTGATTCCTCAGCTTCAATTTTGTTTTTTTTTATTTTCTGTACAATTATTTCTCATTAAGATATCGGCTATTTTTCAAAATTTTTTGCATTATTTTTCTCACAATTTCACAATGATACTTTTCAAAATTCAAAAAAAAATTGTTAATAACATTTAAGATTATTTTTTAATGAAAAAAATTTATACACGCAAAAAAAATTTCTTGCCTCAAATGTACATTTGATTTAAGGTATAGCATACATAAGAAAATATTTTCTCCTTTCAAGAAAATTATTTATTTATTTAAATACTTTAAATTTCTACCCAGAAATATAATTTCTTACTATAAAAATANAAAGAAAAAGTTTTAATGTCGATTATTTTGCCCTCGTCGTGGCATTCAACGAAAATAATGCCCCAGTACATAAAAATTTCCCAATTTTTTTAGTGATATAACTTCGTGGTCGTATCGAGAAAAAAAAGAAGCACCTTAAAGCTTGAAGATTCTAGTTTTGAGATCTTGGGATGAAACATTTTTTTAGCACCACTCTCGGCACAATCTAAAGAACTTTAATTTTTTTTTTCAAAACTTAGAGAATTTTTTTTGGTTTAATCCATGCCAGGATCATTTATCCTGATTCCTCAGCTTCAATTTTGTTTTTTTTTATTTTCTGTACGATTATTTCTCATTAAGATATCGGCTATTTTTCAAAACATTTTTGCATTATTTTTCTCACAATTTCACAATGAATACTTTACAAAATTAAAAAAAAAATTGTTAATAACATTTAAGATTATTTTTTAACGAAAAAAAATTGTACACGCAAAAAAATTTCTTGCTTCAAATGTACATTTGATTTAAGGTATCGCATACATAAGAAAATATTTTCTCCTGTCAAGAAAATTATTTATTTATTTAAACACTTNTTTCGATTATCTCATTGCACAAACCACTCAACTATAACTAGAAAAAATAAAAAAAAATGACTAAAATAAGACTAAAAATGCTATATAAGACTCAACAGCGGTTTGAAGAGTTTGGCCCATAACAAATAAAGGAAACCTAGGGTAAAGAGAAGTTTTGTGGCCAAGTCCACCAGCCACATCCTAAAAAAAAGAAAAAGTTTTAATGTCGATTATTTTTCCCTCGTCGTGGCATTCAACGAAAATAATGCCCCAGTACATAAATATTTCCCAATTTTTTTAGTGATATAACTACGTGGTCGTATCGAAAAAGATTTTTTTTTTTGGTTTAATCCATGCCAGGATCATTTATCCTGATTCCTCAGCTTCAATTTTGTTTTTTTTCATTTTCTGTACGATTATTTCTCATTAAGATGTCGGCTATTTTTCAAAACTTTTTTGCATTATTTTTCTCACGATTTCACAATGAATACTTTTCAAAATTCAAAAAAAAATTGTTAATAACATTTAAGATTATTTTTTAACGAAAAAAAATTGTACACGCAAAAAAATTTCTTGCTTCAAATGTACATTTGATTTAAGGTATCGCATACATAAGAAAATATTTTCTCCTGTCAAGAAAATTATTTATTTATTTAAACACTTTAAATTTCTACCCAGAAATATAATTTCTTACTATAAAAATAGGCAGCATTTAAAGTAAATGTTTGATACTTGCGATTAAACTAATTCTATTCTTAATTTTATGATCTACATAGATTTTATAGAAACATGTCTTGATTATTTTGTATTGTATATTAATGTATCGTTTGTTTAATATAAAATTGAATAGTTTTGGTAAAATGATTGTATATCGAGGGTGTCCTGACAATATGACCTATCGTCAAATTTAGCTGTTTTGAGCTTATGCTATTTTCGACTAACTCAAATATGTCCGCTTGTTTTAAAAACATATCCTAACAGCAGACAACAAAAATAAATTAGGAAATAGCGAAAGCAATTTCTCCTATCATAAACCGGTTTTTATTGGACCTCAATACGTCCTATTGTGTTTAGTTGCCATTGACTTGTGTTGTAGTGTGCACGCTANCGGTTTGAAGAGTTTGGCCCATAACAAATAAAGGAAACCTAGGGTAAAGAGAAGTTTTGTGGCCAAGTCCACCAGCCACATCCTAAAAAAAAGAAAAAGTTTTAATGTCGATTATTTTTCCCTCGTCGTGGCATTCAACGAAAATAATGCCCCAGTACATAAATATTTCCCAATTTTTTTAGTGATATAACTACGTGGTCGTATCGAAAAAGATTTTTTTTTTTGGTTTAATCCATGCCAGGATCATTTATCCTGATTCCTCAGCTTCAATTTTGTTTTTTTTCATTTTCTGTACGATTATTTCTCATTAAGATGTCGGCTATTTTTCAAAACTTTTTTGCATTATTTTTCTCACGATTTCACAATGAATACTTTTCAAAATTCAAAAAAAAATTGTTAATAACATTTAAGATTATTTTTTAACGAAAAAAAATTGTACACGCAAAAAAATTTCTTGCTTCAAATGTACATTTGATTTAAGGTATAGCATACATAAGAAAATATTTTCTCCTGTCAAGAAAATTATTTATTTATTTAAACACTTTAAATTTCTACCCAGAAATATAATTTCTTACTATAAAAATACGCAGCATTTAAAATAAATGTTTGATACTTGCGATTAAACTAATTCTATTCTTAATTTTATGATCTACATAAATTTTATAGAAACATGTCTTGATTGTTTTGTATTGTATATTAATGTATCGTTTGTTTAATATAAAATTGAATAGTTTTGGTAAAATGATTGTATATCGAGGGTGTCCTGACAATATGACCTATCGTCAAATTTAGCTGTTTTGAGCTTATGCTATTTTCGACTAACTCAAATATGTCCGCTTGTTTTAAAAACATATCCTAACAGCAGACAACAAAAATAAATTAGGAAATAGCGAAAGCAATTTCTCCTATCATAAACCGGTTTTTATTGGACCTCAATACGTCCTATTGTGTTTAGTTGCCATTGACTTGTGTTGTAATGTGCACGCTAGCAGGTGAGTTCCCTTAAATTCATAAATTTAGCTACATATTGAGAAGTTTTGTTTACTAAATTAATATTTATATATACTTGATAATTGTAGGATTGTATTGATAAACATATTACCGCAAATTTAATAAACAATACGGTTGTACAAGCGAAATTTTGAATTGTTTAAGTTAGGTCTTATTAGCATAATGTAATTTGTGCTAGATAGGACATATTGTTTTGATATAAATAAGTATAATATTGTTTAGAATAATGTTTTCTAATGTTATCTTCTGCTTTTACTTTTTATCAAAAGTGAACAATTTATTATACCTGTGTATAGTCTCTTAAATAGAGTGTGCTAATAATAGTTTGTAAAAGATCAGTCTAAACTACAATTTTATTTTCATAAATTAAAATTTAAAGCAAGGTACACCAAGTAAAATACACCTAATGTGAAATATTATCACTTGGCTATAGCTACTAAATTAGTTTTCTAATTTTGTTGCAGAACAATGTCCAACAGAACAAGAAAAATATTGGAACTGGTTGAACAGCAAAATCAAATTAACGGTTTTAATGGCAACTGTTTGATAGATAATACTCATGAAGAAATTGCAATCAATAAGACTGATCCACTTGATAAGACTGAAAGTACAAATTGTATGATTACAGAGACTGTTTTTGTACCTGAAAATGACAGTGTATTTAAAGACCCTGATTCTACAATAATGTTTGCGAACTTAGAAAACATAGATATTTGTTGCGAATTGCCTGTAGAAACACCAGTTGGGCCACTTATTAACATACAAGAGCTAGATATTGTGTTCCTTGATGGCCCTAAGACAGATAACGCCAATTGTGAAATGGAATCTAATTTGTTTTTTGGTGCAGAAGACATGAATGCAATAATATTAAATTCTCAGCCCGTTTTAACTGCCAATGAGAATGAACAAGAACAAAGTGAAGAAAATAGGAATGATCAAGATCAAAGTGAAGAAAATAAGAATGAACAAGAACAAAGTGAAGAAAATAAGAATGAACAAGATCAAAGTAAAGAAAATAAGAATGAACAAGAACAAAGGGATGAAAATGAAAAGAAATCGAATAATGACGAGGAGATACAGGCAAGTGACATTGTTGATTATGAGATCGAAGAGCAGGAAAGCAGTAATATTGATGAAGATACAATTTTTGGAGGAAAGAATGCCCACTGGAAGAAAATAAAGAATCA